TGTCCCTAAAAGTGGAGGAGCCCCACTGTGAGGGCTTTCCTTCCTTCCCTTTTGGGAGTCTGCTTGAACGTCTCCCTCTCGGGTAAATGGGGTTTGGAGGAAAAGCAGGCTGGGCTCATATCCGGTTCTTACTCTCATTGCCAGCTGTGGGTACCTCACCCAATCTGTCTGAGCTCCAGCTTCTTTATTTGTAATAACAAGGGGCCATGAGACTCACCTTCCCAGGGTGTCAAGCCCAGTTCCTGGTGCATTCCATGGGCTCAGAACAGCCTAGTACTGCTTCTCCTCCCTTCCACCTGTTCCTTTGATAATGTACTGCTAGTTTTTTCTTTCCAGTTTTCTTTGGAGTATTGGAAGATTTTAACATAGTTCCATTGAAAATGAAGCAAATTGAGAAAAAAAAATAGATGCTAGCTGATAGCGATACTCATATTCTGCCAGAAAACATCCTCAGGGTGACCTGAGGCTTATTTTGAGACCCATCCTCTGGTGCCTTAGAAAATACCAAGCTGCAATGAGGAGCTGCAAGAGAAGCTCTGGTCTCCCTTGTACATAGCTCCTCAGGGCAAGCAGTTATTCTCACTAGTCACCAGCTCTGTGTTTCATATCTACATTCCTCCTAACTGAGACAGGGAGTAAGATGTTGACTAGTAAAAGCTAAAACAGTGCAAAACAGTTTGGTGGTTACTCAAAAAGTTAAACATTGAATTACCATATGATCAGCAATTCCACTCCTAGGTATATATACCCAAGAAAATTGAAGACAGGCACTCAAATAAGTACATGTACACACATGTTCATAGAAGCACTATTCATATAGCCAAAGGTGGAAACAGATCAAGAGTCCATCAACAGATGAATGGATAAACAAAATATGGTATATCTGTACACTGGAATATGATTCAACCATACAAAGGAATTAAGTTCGCACCCATGCTACAACATGGATGAACCTTGAAATATTATGTGAGTGAAAGAAGCCAGACACAAAAGGCCACATATTGTGTGATTCCTTTTGTATGAAATATCCAGAATAGATAAATCCATAGAGACATAAAGCAGATCAGTGGTTGCCAGAGGCTGTGGGGAGAGAGGAACAGGGAGTGACTGCTTAATGGGTACAGGGTGTCTTTGGGGATAATGAAAATGTTTTGGAACTAGACAGAGGTGGTGGTTGCACAATATTTTGAATGTGCTAGGTGTTGTTCACTTTAAAATGATGAATTTTATATTATGTGAATTTCACCTTAATTTTATTTATTTATTTGTTTGTTTGTTTATTTATTTATTTGGTGGCTGGCCAGTATAGGGGTGAACCCTGGACTTTGGTGTTGTCAGCACCATGCTCTAATCAACTGAGCTAACCAGACAGTCCTCAATTTAAAAAACCCAAAAACCAAACTAAAAGAGTAAATCTGTATGTATTCATTTGTGAGAATTAATGAGCACAGAATCCTTCTTCAAGCAGCCTCCACCTAAACCATTCTTAGATGAAGAGGAAACTTTTCCTCCTCCAAGATCCTACCTTGCTCACTGCATCCTCTCATTGTAAACTTTTTCCTAATCTAAATGTGCTTCTGGAGATCACTCGTGCTGAACTGCTCTTTTTTCTGACTTGTCTTGTTTCACATTTGAAGTAATTTGGGATCAGCTCTAATATTTTTTTGCTTTAGAAAAGTAGTAAAAATTAATTAATCTACAACTGCACTGATAGCAAAAGTTAATAGAAATTTTAATAAAAATATAACCTCAATAAGCTTCCCTATTGTTCTAATAAATGCAATAGTAGTTTAGAGTTGTAGATAAAAAAATTAATAAAACAACTGAGGCTAGGGACCGTGAAGCTCAAACCAATGGACACAGTCTCTGTTCAGCTTATCCAGCAGTGAGGTGAGAAGATGCCCTCAAAGTGCATTTTCATTTCATGTTGTGCATTGAAAATATTCTTAAACCTTTTACTAATATTTCTTGTTTGGTGGCTTATTTTTAATTATTAAGATTTTTAATCCAATGCAAAAAAAGTTGGAGACAACTATCATGGCCAAGTGCCTAAAATATGGTGATATATTAACAGAGGAAATGGGCAAGGAGAGGGTTTTAAGGACACCCGAAGGTAGACTCAGCTTCAGGCACAGGGAAAAGCAGGATTTTCAACATTCATGAGGCCTCAGTCTCTGGGTGGCATTCCCAGAAGCTAAATGGTGTTTGCCTTATCGGTTTTTCTTTCCAAGACTGTGACAGAAACTTAGAGGGTGAAGGAGCCACTGACTCTGGAAAAAACACAAACAGCTGGCTTTTCAGGTGCCCCTCTAGGGCCGGGTCAGCCTTCTCCTCAAGGTGAGTAAAGAAATTCCAGGTGTGGTGTGTGATCAAATTAAAAGTAGATTTTTCACCAGACACAGACTCTTTGGGAAATGTCACTGTTGTCCTTTAAAGAAGCACCACGTGTCAGAGCCTAGGGGTTCCAGCAATGATCTGCTCAGCTTAGAAATTCCCCACTGGCCCAGCCTCTGGGTGGAACATCCAGTGGGAATGTTTTTGGTCAGGCAGAGTTTGTTAAAAGATGAGGAAATATGGAAATGAAAGTAATAGAGAAGAGAAAACCATTTTTAATTGGCTTTAACGTAGCCAGCTTTCTTCGCTAAATGCCAGAACTAACTAGAATTTAAAAGAATTTAAGCTTTACCAGAAATCAGTGTCCTGCTCTGCCAAGAACACAGGGGAGATGGAGCTGAAGATGTGGTCTGCAAGGCCCATTAAAGAGCTACGTGCAGTAAGACCGATGCCTCCAGAGGGAGCCCAAGGGAGCATTAACAAGTGCCGAGGTGCTGCACCCAGCATTTTCCGTCTGGACTGCCCCTCAGAGGGAGGGAACACAGACAAAGCCCTGCACTTCGAGTGTGGCAGAGAGAAGCACTGGGTGAGACCCCCGGCCTCCTGGGCACTGGCACTTGCTTTAGATGGGAGCCCTGGGCATTCTTTACATCTTCTCAGAATGAGGGGCAAGAACTGGCCATAGAAGAAGAAAGGCTAATTTAGAATTAAGCCCATTAGGATGAAAGGAAAAGAATAAAGCCGGACAAATGACTCAGTTAGGTTTCCCTTGGGACCTGTTCCATCCCACCCGCATGGACTGTAGGGGGTTGCATAAACCTGAATTGTGCTCTCTTGTGGAGTTCAGACCTGCACTAGCTCAACAGGCATCTAAGATCTGGGGAAGCTGCCCTTCTGCAGAGATAAACAAGATCGGCTGCTCCTGAGGGGAAACTTGAGGAATCTTTTAAAAAATTACTGTGAAAAATTTCAATCATGAACAAAAATAGAGATTAGTATTGTGAATTCCCACGTTCTGATCACTGGTTTACTCATCTCTCCCTCCATTTTTTTCTTAATTATGGTAAAATGTATGTAAAAGAAAACTTACCAAGGAATCTTTTAAAAAATTACTGTGAAAAATTTCAATCATGAACAAAAATAGAGATTAGTATCGTGAATTCCCACGTTCTGATCACTGGTTTACTCATCTCTCCCTCCATTTTTTTCTTAATTATGGTAAAATGTATGTAAAAGAAAACTTACCGTCTCAGCCACTTTAAAGTGTACAGTTCAGTGGCATTAAGCACATTCACATGATTGTGGAACCATCACCACTACCATTTCCAGAACTTTTCACCTTGCAAACAAGCTCTGTCTCCATTAAACACAAACTCCCCATTCCCCTCCCCCAGTCCCTGGCACCCGCCACTCTACTTCCTGTCTCAATGAATCTGAGTACTCTAGGAACCTCATATAAGTGGAATCATACAGTATTTGTCCTGTGACTGGTTTATTTCACTTATCATAATGCTCTCAAGTTTCATCCAAGCCATCCACTGTTTTTAAACTAAAGGAATCGTGAAGCTCTAAAGAAAGAAGCCCAATAATCAGCTCAAGCTGAAACTGCCTGTATTTTCCTTTAGATCTCAACTCTGCACCAGTATGAACTCATTCAGTCCTCACAGCCATCTTATCCTCTGGTAAAGATGATAGTGTGGCAGATCACAGGGGTTGGGTGGCTCCTCCAACGTCGTTCAGACAGTGAGAGGGACACCAAGGACTGGGACCCTGTGTCACTCCATCACAGGCCCTGCTGCCTCTCATGGAAAGGTTGTTTTTACTTCTGCAGAGTCTGTCTAGCCCAGGGTTTTGCAAAGCATAATACTACATACTCCTGGTGGTATGCAAGATGATTTTAAGTAGCAGACAAATGAACACTTTTATTTTAATAACTGTATATTTATCTCGATATGTATTAGAAAAAACAATGGGCACAGAAAACTTATGATTTCAGAGATTTAGTCTTAAGGCAAGACAGTTAAAAACTGATTCCATTTAAAGTAGATTTTAAAGAGAAATATAGAGTAAATAGTAGTATGTGGATATGATATAGCAAACTTGAATAACTGAAATTTGGGAAAAACTGAGCCCAGAAGCATTCTTCTCTAGGGAAGTAAAAGAAAGAAAAGCATCCCTGGACAACAACAGCTTCCCAGAGCACTAACATCAGGCAAAATCACTCTCTGACTGAAGAAATGAGGAGGAAAAATTAATAATCTCCTCTAAGCACAGACAAAAGCAATGTCACTGTGCAAACCACAAAAATACCAAACATCCCCCTCTCTTAGCTGAGAGGATGACTGCCACTTCTTAACCAATTTTTGCTGGCCTTTGGGTCTGGTCTACTCTTCTTCTAGATAGGGTTTACTAAGATACACAATTACAGAATGATCCCTGCTTCCTGACAGTGCCCAATCCGGAGCCCTGCCCTCAATCCCCATTCAAAGCCCAAAGCTCACCACGAGTCCTTTCTAACTTCTTCTTACTGAGATAACACACAAGTCCCCAGGTGTGAGGTCTCCCTCATGGCCACGAGCAATATACCCAACCTGCACAGGTATCTCCTGGGGGTCTTGGCTGAAGGATTGCTTATGATACAGAAGATCCCTTGCATGTGCCCTACACAGGGTGATGAGGTCGCTGACCCCCTCCAACCCACAGGCACTCAGGAAGCAGGAGCTTCTCCTGGACTCTGGTATAGCTTGTCCTTCAAATGGGACATTGCAGTCTCCTATCTGGGACAGTTCCTGATCACCTGTGCAAATGGCACCTCTTACCTTCTCCCTCACGTACCTGAGACATTGGTCTCAGCAAAAGATCTCCTCAAACTCCTCAAAACAACAGTCACAGGACACTTCTGGTTAGCACGGATGCTGTTCCCTATCTCCTTTCTTTTGCATTTTGTCTGAGTTCTGGAGCACTGAATCGTGATCATTTTCTGTACCTTGAAGTTTGTGGTTCTTCGCCCATCATACAGAACTCTATTTGAAGGTCATGCTCATCTCAGTTTGAGGACATCTTATTTGCTTCTTAGAGCAAGGAGGAGGTTGGCCTACTCTTGGGCTGGAGCCCTTGCCCACAGCCCTGAGGTGACATCTACATGTAAACAAGCCAAGTCCCCATCGTCTTTCCTGGGCACTTCTATTTAATTATATTGGTGAAAGCAAAGGAGGGCTTTTCAGTAGCGAAGGCAGCCTTGTGAGTGGGGCGCAGGTCAGCTGCTGTTTGGGAACACACTGGGCCCTAAGATCCCAAACACGCTTCCTTGGAGAGACTCTGTGGGCCTCTTCTGACAACTCACCCTGGCTGGCTTAACTGGTCAAAGGAGCAGGAACTGGCTCTCAACCTCACAGTTCCTGCAGGTCATACTCTTCCTACTTCTTACTGGTCTCGAGAATCGAACGGGTCATACAGCCTCTACTCAGACTAGTCAAGATAAAGGCCCCCTGGCTCTTCTCCTGTCTGTGGAGTGGCATGTTCTGAATGTGGGGCACTCTCAGTGGTATGTTGGAGTGCCAGATGGAGCCACCCCAGAGCCAAGAACAATCCAGTGGGAAGGTAATGAAGAGGTTCTGAAAATGAGCTGGGGGTGGGGTGGAAGGGCTCTGGAGGGGCAACCTCTGCCCCTGCCATGCTGACTGGGCTGAACAAGTTGGGCAGAGATGCTTCTGGACAGAGCTTGAAGGAGTCCCATTTCCTGGGGTCTCCCAGGTTCACTCCCCTTGTCCACTGCTGTCTATGTCTAGGAAAGAAAGCTCTTTGTCCTCATGAGGGCAACAGCAAACCACAAAGAGCAGACAGCCTCCTGTGCTCCTGGAGACACCCCTGGTGGCTGGGGCGAGAAGGCAGAATGGGAAAACCTGTGATGATTCAAGTTTTGAACTTCTCTGCCATCTCAGCCTTCATCCACAGTGATACTGGTAAGTTCTAGCTTGGTATGTTATCTGGCATGTAATTTCTTCTTGTAAACTTGCCGCCTCTCTCCATAGGTAGACTTTCTACTCCTGACGCTCAGAACTCGTTACTTATGTGCTCTTTAACTTAAAGTTAATTTGGACGATCTTGTTTTTCTCCTGGTGGGTGGATAACTGACATCTGACTCTGCAGAAAAGTCAAAGGCAGCAGGAACATAATTCCTTTAACAATGCCTTTGTTTATGAATTTCTTCAGAGCAATTTAGCCACCCCCTGGCTGCCATAAATCCCTGGGCAGGAAAGAGGTGATGAGACTTCAGAAGAGTCTAAGTCATAAAGGAGCGGGAGCGAGGAAGGAGGAGTTCATGGGACCCGAGGTTCTCATGCAGCATTTCCATTCTGTCACCTCTCACCCCTGCCTCAGTTTCTCTGCGTATAAGTAGCTGGAAGGGCTCTGCTGAGAATTAATTAACAAATGTCCATTAAATGTTCATAGGGTAAGTGCTCCTCAGCTGCTGAGTAGTATTAAATAATTACAACCCTGGAATGATGAGCCCATCATGTCGTTGATCTGATGCATGAAAATGTTGTTATATGTCTTTTCACAATGACTTTATTTAACAAGAGCTGATCTTTGCAATTTGGTTTATTTTCTCTATCCCTTTTAATTTCAGACTCGGGGTTATTAGCAGATAACTGCTCATTCCTGCTATAAATCAAGAAAATACTCATTAGAAGCCCAATGCTGTGATTGCTAGGAGTCTGGGCTTGTAAAGGATGGGATGATGGCAAAATTTGGTGTTAAAATAGGCTAAATTCAAAAATATTTTTCATTTAGGGAAAACAAAATGGCATTTTCAGAACCGAGCAACCTCTTAAATGCATTAAAATCCAAATCATACTTGGTAAATCATCAGAATGAGACAAAGCCATCAAATATCAAATAGGATCCTCAAGACTGGGGAGAAGGAGATGAAGGGGTGGACATGAGGAATCTTCACAATGGGACTGAACCGAAAGTTCAGTTGTGGGCTCCACCATGCTGGGGGGCCACCCTACAGCCACACATGCAGACACTGCCAACGGATGGGGCAGAGGCAATTTTCAGGGCATATCTGTAAACTCTGGGGGAAAAAAAGAGTGCTGATGTTTAAAACATATGGCCTGGGCTGAGGAGGAATGGACATGGTGCTTTCATCCCTGGCCCTTCCCCTCCTCTGGCTCCCAGGTGGCATTTTCTCTCTCTCGTGTTTCATAAGGAACATGTTGATTCGCAGGAGAGAGTATTTTCTGTCCTCCATTCCTCATCTATGCACTCTTTTCCAGACTGGTAGAATCTCTTTTTGCAAAATTATTCTCGCTTAATCCATGGAGACAGAAAGTGGATTAGTGGTTGCCAGGGGCTGGGGTGGGGGTGGGGGGAGGGTGTTGGGGAATGGAAAGTGACTGCTAATGGGTACCAGGTTTCTTTTAGGGGTGATGAAAATGTTCTAGAATTAGATCAAGGTGATGGCTGCACAACTCTGGGAATACTGAATTGTACACTTAAAAAGGATGAATTTGATGGTGCCGGTAAATCTGTTTTAAAGATAACCCTTGCCTGTTGTTGCTGGACTTATTACAGTTACTG